TGCGTGAATATGCGTGGGTTGGTGACACGGAGGAGGGTGAAACGGAGGATGATGCGCGAGGAGGAGAAGAGCGGAGGGAGGAGTGGTTTCTCGCGTTGGTCGAAGATCGTCGTCGAAACTTGGAGATCGAAGAGGGTGAACAGGTAGAGGGTATTGGAGGGGGTGGGTTTCGCGTGGACAAGTGGGGTGATGAGGGAGGAGGGACTTCTCGAGGGTACGTAATTACGGTGGATTATCGTGAAAGTGTGCGCAAAGGGGGCACCTGGCCCGGGGGGCGTGCCACCCTACAGGGGAACCCTCCCAGGGGGATTGGCAGAAAGAGGGGCGACGACGCGCGGTACATCTACATTTCCTACACGCTGCTGGCCGAGCTGCATCTCTTCGAACAGGTAAATTTGCTTCAGCTTTTCTTCGAGTCCGTAAATTGCGATTCAAGTAGGAAAGAAGAGGAAGCGTGTGAAGAGGAGCGAAGAAAGAAATAAAAGTTTTTTTTTTTGACTATATCGTTGTATATATTGGATTGGTAATATTGGATTGGTCTGGAAATTAATTAGATTATGGTAAATTAAGAGGTTTCGTATAAGGCAAAATAACTTTATTGTGTACGATATTTACACAAGTTATTGGTCCTTTTTATCGAGTTTAATTTTAGTACGATTAATTTCTGGATGATCTAATATATTCTGCAAAATAAATAAATTGTAATAATAAATTATCAGATATTAAAAAGACAAACCCTAACATTTTAAGAGCTTAGCCAAAGGAAGCGTATATGCGTGAAATGAACATAGATTTAATCTCTCTTTACTTACCTTAAAAAATTACCTTAAAAAATTCTTCGAACAAACTCGCGATATTCGTAAATAATAAAAATCGATTTTTACTTTCGAAAGGTGATCGATTGTAGGATGTATATCGTAACGTGTTTTTGTTTTCTTTTTTTTTTCTTGAGTATTATAAATTTCTTTAACGCTCAATCGTATTCCAATATTTATATTTAACGATGAAATTTTTAATCGACGAAACACCGTCGTTATTTTTCGTTCGCGATGAATATCTTTTGCGTCGAATGAAATAGTTTTCGGACAATATATACAATAACAGTCGTGCGGAATCTGTTCGCGTTTTTTCTCGTTATTATTATTTTCGTTCCGTTCAGATTATCGATATCGAAATTCATATTTAAATCAGCAATAATCCGGACAATTAAGGGAGAGAAAAAAATTTTCCTTGCAAATAAACGTTTGTTTACAATCTCCCGGGAGGAAAAAATGATCCCTTCAGCGGATTTCCGGCGAGAGGAAGGGAGGGGGGAGCCGCGGATTTCAGTGATTTTTCGCAAAACCGCGCCCATCCTATCCGGTGATTAAATGGGGGAAAAAGTATGAATCATGGGGAGGGAAAAAAAATTGAAAAACAAAAATTCGAATGGAGCGATGAACAATTCGATGGAGGGGAGGGAGGGGTGTAACCGCTATTAATTCCGTCGGGCGTATAAAATACAATCGATTTCCGCCTCGAAATCTTCGATCTCGACTAATCAGACCAAAAAACTTGCCACTGGGGAACGGATAAAATTGAAAAATGAAAGCTTCCGCGAAAATTCTGCACGGTCAAACGGATGATCTTGTTTCCTGGAAAATATATATATATATAATCTTCGCTTGCAAATTGCAATACAATTTTCGTGAAGTGAAATATCAAAATTGTGATGCGAGGCGCGACAAAATTAGAGATAAATAAATTCATTGATTTTATATCCGTTCGAATAATAGATTATAGATACGTAAAAGTTCGCATTCGAATCGATGGGAATGTAATCTCTGTTTTATCAATTATAACAATAAATCAAATTAATACCAGTAATATTAACTCGCGTATCTAGCCTCGATAGCTGTTTAAGTTTTGTGCAAATATTACAAAATTGTTGTGTAATCTATCTTCAAGAGAAGATTTTTTTCGTTTCCTCGTGTTAAATAAATTTATCGTTCCAAATTTATCGTTCCCTCTCGAGTGATAAGACAAAGATTTATATCGTTAGTTAAAATTTCTTTTTCGAATTCATAAGTACAATTGGTCCTAAAAATATTCGATCGTCTGGATATTTTACAATTTCATAATATATTTTATCACACGTTGTATATTTTTTCTTAAACAATTAACCTATCCTTATTAAAGTTATTTTCAACGTAAAATTTTTCATACTTTCGAAATCAACTGTTACATATATATCAATTTCATTTCGAAATTTCAACTAAAAATTATTCATTAGCATTTCTAATAAACGAACAACAAAAAGAGATTCGATAAACGAATTAATTCATCGAAGCAAGAAACGACATATAGACAACTCCCTTATTTCCCCTCGTCCTTACAACGAAGAATAAATAATCCTTCCCAAAGAAAGAGATCCAGATAAACGATCGACAACATTTTTTTTTTTTTTTTTTTTTAAA